GGGTTTAGGGTTTAGGGACATTGCAGCACTGTACTTCTTCCTACTGGCTTATATCCTGCTGCTGCTGCTGCTGCTGCTGCTGCTGCTGCTGCTGCTGTTGCTGGTGTTGTGCTGCAGCTGCTGGAGAGTTTCTTAACTCTTGTATTACCATCTGTATATGATTTACTAGATCAAGAACAAACATCTGCTGCTGCTGCTGCTGCAGCAGCAGAGACAGCAGCAGCAGCAGTCTCCTTATCTATTCGTTTTCTTGCTGCTCCCTTAGATGCATTTATAGGCAAAGATATATTATCTGCTGTTGCTGCAGCAGCAAAAGCAAGAAGCAGCAGCAGCAACAGCAGCAGCATGGGGGGCCCCCAATATGCGGGGGGGGCCCCGGAAGGGGGGGGGGCCCTTGCTAATATGCATAAAGAAAAGGACCCTGCTGTTGCTGCATTGAGGGTATGGGGGCCCCCCCTTAGATCTATGCTGCTATCTGCTGCTGCGTTTGCTGCTGTTTATATAAGCAGAGCAGCAGCACAGCTGCAGCAGCAGCTGCTAACTGTTGTCTCCCGTCACCGCGAGCAACTGCAGCAGCAACAGCAACAGCAGCAACAGCAACAGCAGCAGCAGCAGCAGCAGCAGCAGCAGCAGGAGATAGAAGGATATATTCCCCTTTCCTTATCCGTAAAGAAAATGTTTACGATGTTTACTATGGAGACACAAAAGCAACAGACACAGCAAATGTCTCCTTTTGCTTCCTTGGGGGCCCCCCATCAGGGGGCCCCCAACCAGGGGGGCCCCCAAGGGGCCCTCCAGGGGGCCCCCAGAGGAGGAGAGGGTGTGGGGCCCCCCTTGTATTTTGTGTGCTCAAGACAGCTGGAGGTTTTGCTGCAGCAGATAATATGGCTAGGTGCAGCAATAAAAGCAGCAGCAGCAGGACCAGCAGCAGCAGGACCAGCAGCAGCAGGAACAGCAGCAGGAGCAGCAGCAGGAACAGCAGCAACAGGAGCAGCAGGAAGAAAGGGTAAAGGAGACAGTTTACTGCCTTTGCTGTCTCCTCAGGTGTCTCTGCTGCAGTGGTTGCTGTCTAACCCTCAGGAGTATGTTTGCTGCTGCTGCAGCAGCAGCAGCAGCAGATTGCTGCTGCACCTGTCTCCTGCTGCACTACAGAAGAGCTTACGCCGCCTGCAGCACTCAACATACGTGAAGCAAGCAGCCTTGCTGCAGCAGCAGCAGCAGCAGCAGCAGCAGCTGTTGCTGCTGCAGCAAGTAGCAAGGCAGCAGCAAGAGTCTCCTGACGTCTCTTCTGTGCAGCAGCAGCAGGAAATCTCCACACTAGCAGCAGCACTATTCGCAGCGCAGCACAAGCAGCAGCAGCAGCAGCGACAGCAGCAACAGCAACAGCAGCAGCAGGTGCTGCTGCCGATCCTCAACTCGCTGCAGCAGCTGCATGCATCGCTTGCTGCTGCTGCTGCTGCACAGAATCCCCGTGGAGGTAAAGGAGACATTCCTTTCCCCTCTCAGCAGTTTAATAAAAAGAAGCAGCAGCGCATGCAGCAGCGCATGCAACAGCAGCAAGCAGCAGCAGCAGCAACAGCAGCAGCAGCAGCAGCAGAGGAGTCTCCTGCAGATGCTCTTGCTGCCTACGGAGACGCCATTGAGTCTCTATGGCAGCAAACATTGGAGACACTACTGCAGCAGCAGGAGTTGCTGCTGCACTGCAACAACAGCAGCACAAGGCAGCTACTGCTGCTGCTCACCAGCAGCAGCAGCAGCAGCAAAGACAACCAGCATGATATGCCAGAAGATGCAGCAGCAGCAGCAGCAGCAGCAACAGACACGACTGCAGCAGTCTCCTTACAGCCTGCTGCTGTCTCCTCTGCTGCTGCAGCAGATTTCCTTTCGCTGCCAGTAGAGAAGGCCCAGTTCTCCTCCAGCAGCAGCAGCAGCAGCAGCAGCAGCAGCAGCAGCAGCAAATGGCCGACAGAGGGGATGCAGGTAGTAGAGATAAGCGACAGCAGCGAGGAAGAAACTGCAGCAGCACAATGCAGCAATGATGCTGCATCTCCTGCTGCTGTTGCTGCTTCCTCTCCTGAACCTGCTGCTGCTGCTGCTGCTGCAGATGCTGCAGCAGAACCAACAGCAGAAGAAGCAGCAGCAGAAGCAGCAGCAGCAGCAGCAGCAGCAGCAGCGTCTCCTTCAGACATCTCGAGTGTCTCTTCAGATACAGCAAGTGTCTATTCATGCGACGAGCAGCAGCAGCAGCAGCAGCAGCAGCAGCAGCAGCAGCAGCAGCAGCAGCAGCAGCGAGGGACAGCAATTTATGTGCTGCAGGCACCTGCATTACTGTCTCCTTTGCTGCTGCTGCTGCTAGGGTATGATGCAGAGGCGCTGCTGCTGCATCTGCCTGCTGCTGCAGTCCCTCTTTATAGAAGACTTGCTGCTGCTGCAGCAACAGTGCAGCAGCAGCTGCATCCCTCTCTATGGGCGGGTCCCCTCTCGGGTGCTGCTGCAGCAAAGGCGCAGCAGCAGCAACAGCAGCAGCAGCAGCAGCAGCAGCAGGAAGAACGTATGAAGATTTGGACAAGGGGACTGTCTCTTGTTGCTGCTGGCTGTTTTGCTGCTGCTGCTGCAACAGCAGATCGTGAATTGTCTCCTGCTGCTGCTAGTGCTGCACCTAAGAGACACCAGACAGCAGCAGCAGCAGCAGCAGCAGCAGCAGCAGCATGGTGCCGCTTCTTCCTCTCTGTTGGTAAAGCTGCGCTGCTCTCGTGGCAGCAAAGGTACTTATTAACTGTCTCCTTTTTTGTCTCCTTTTTTGTCTCCTTTTTTGTCTCCTTTTTTGTCTCCTTTTTTGTCTCCTTTTTTTGTCTCCTTTTTGTCTCCTTTTGTCTCCCTTGTTTGTCTGCTCTTTTTGCTGCCTCTTTGCACCTCTCTCGTGTTGCTGTTGCTGTTGCTGCTGTTGCTGTTGCTGTTGCTGTTGCTGTTGCTGCTGTTGCTGCTGCTGTTGCTGTTGCCACCTCGTTTCTGTCTCCACTAGTGTCTCTTTTATATTCCGTATTGTTGCATCTCCTGCTGCTGCTGCTGCTGAATAGCTGCTGCTGCTGTGCTGTATGTGTTTCCTTTGCTGCTGCTGCAGGTGTCTCCTTAGCTCCTCCTTTAATTTGCTGCTGCAGTCCCTTTTCTTTTGTCCTTCTCTTCCTTCCCCTTATTTGCTTCCTCTTGTTATGCGTTTGTCTCCTTCTTGTCGTGATGCTGCTGTCTCCTGTGTCTCTGCTGCTGTTGCTGCTGCTGCTGCAGCAGAAGCAACAGCAGCAACAGACAGCACCGCAGCAGCAGCAACAGCAGCAACACAGGATCTGCTGCTGCTTATTCCTCATATTATCCGCTGCTGTCTTTTCCCCTTTGGCTACAGCCGTATATACACTGTCACCTGGAGTAGCAGCAGCAGCAGCAGCAACAGCAGCAGCAGCAGCAGCAGCAGGAAGGGAGTCCCTGAGGGTTTCCCTCTATCCATGGAGGCATTTCCTGTGGCTGGCCATGGGGGCCCTAGTGCAGCAGCAGCAGCAACAGCAGCAACAGCAGCAGCAGGAGGAGGACGAAATAGTTTGTATTCGTCTTTAGTTGCTTCTTCCCCTGCTGCTGCTGCTGCACCTGCAGAAGCAGCAGCAGCAGCAGATGCAGCAGTTAGTTGGGGGCCCTCAGGTGTCTCCGCAGATAATCGTCTCCTAGCAGCAACACACTTCTCTCTTCCTCTTCTTAGTTGTCTGCTTAGGCAGCCAGCAGCAACTGTCTCCTTCCAGCAGCAGCAGCAGCAGCAGCAGGGGGAGGAGCAGCAGCAGCAGCAGCAACTGGAGCTAAAGAAACAGGTGTCTCCTAAGGAGACACCTGCTGCTGCTGCTGCTGCTGCTGCTGCTGCACTGTCTCTTCGTGTCTTATTGAGTCTCCTTTTAGAGGCAGCAAAACCCTTCGATCTTACCTACAAATCTTACCCTGCTGCTGCAGCACAGCAGCAGCAGCAGCAGCAGCAGCAGCAACTGCAGCAGCAGCAACTGCAGTATGAATTATCCTTTAGGGGCCCTTTATGCCTAGAGCTGCTGCTGCAGGAAGCAACAACTCTCCTATTAGGAGACAATAAACAAAAGGAGGCACTTCTGCATGCGCTGCAGCTGTCTCCTTTAGGGGGCCCCCCAGGGGGCCCCCTAAGGGCCCCCCCCGGGGGGCCCCCCTGCACACCTCAGAACCTCACAGCAGCAGGAGAAGTTCTGCTGCAGCTGACGTTGCCCCTTTGCATGCAGGCCTGTGCGCCGCTCCAGCCAGCAGCAGCAGCAGCAGCAGCAGCAACAGCAGCAGCAGCAGGAGATGACAAGAAAGGAGACAGTTATAAAGAAATGATTGCTGCTGCAGCAAAGGCAGGAGGACAAGTTGCTGCATCTGTTTCCTTCTTTTGCTGCTGCGCTCGCCAGCTGCTGCCTCCTCTCTCTGCTGCTGCTGCTGCAATACCTGCTGCAGTACCTGCTGCAGCAGGGATACAACAAAGAGACCCTTTGCTGCTGCATGCAGCAGCAGCAGCAAGTAATACCTGCTGTCTCCTTTCTTCTCCTCCTTCTTCCTTTGCCCTCGCACTGGAGTTTCTCTTTACCCACCTGGGGGCCCCAGGGGCCCCCTTCCTGGGGCCCCCCCAAGGGGCCCCCAATGTGACCAGCAGCAGCAGCAGGAGCAGCAGCTTGCAAGCAGCAGCAGCAGCAGCAGCAGCAGTAGGCCTTTCCTTTAAGGAGACAGTTCTTTATGATGAGGGGCCCCTCTGTATATGCAGCAACTGTACGCTTTCTGCTCCTAATAAAAAGGAGACACCTGGGGGGGCCCCTGGCAGCAAAGGAGACAGTTTCCTTGCTGCTGTTTGTGCTGTTGCTACATTTGCTGCTGCACCGCAGCAGCAAACAGCAGCAGCAGCAGCAGCAGCAGCAAGTGCATGCAGAAGCAGCAGCAGCAACTGCAGATGCAAGGAAGGAGAAGAACATTCCTTAGCTCAGCTTGCTGCCTTTGTTGTCCTCTGTTATAAGGTACTACAAGACGTTGCTGCTGCGCTGCAGCAGCAGCAGCAGCAGCAGCAGGGACAGGGGGATGAGGGATCATGGGGCCCGAAGTTTATTCCTTCAGCACTGCGCCGATGGTTCCTTAAGAACTGCAGCGGCAGCAGCAGCAGCGGCAGCAGCAGCAGCAGCAGCAACAGCAGCAGCAGCAGCAGCAGCAGCAGCATGCGCCCTTCTTTGCTGCCAGGTCTGCATGAGGATTCAAAGAGAGAGGGACTTTTATTAGTAGGTTTACTCTTATTTATTTATTTATTTATTTATTTATTTATTTATTTATTTATTTATTTATTTATTTATGCATGCATGCATGCATGCATGCAGCAGCAATGCTGCATATGTTTTGCTGCAGCAAATAAATGTGTCTCCTTTTTTGTCTCCTTTTCTTTGTGTTTGTTTGCCTCTAAGTGTCTCCTTTTGTCTCTCAACTACTGCCTGCTGCTGCTGCTGCTTTTGCTGTTGCTGCTGCTGTTGCTGCTGCTGCTGCTTTTGGTGTTGCTGCACTCTTCCTACTCCTCATGTTGGACTTGCTTCTGTGCTGCTTCTGCTGCTGTTGCTGCTGCTGCTGCTGTTGCGGTGTATGTGCAGCTAGTTGCTGCTCTCCTTAGGAGTCTCCGCAGCTTAGCTCGTTGTATATGTGGGGTTATAGAGGGTACAGGGGGGCCCCACTTGGGGGCCCCCCTGTACCCTTCGTACCCAGATGGGGGCCCCTGTCTCCTTATAGAGGAGAGAGGAGACACTTCTTCTTCTTGTGTCTCCTCTTTATGTCTCCCTCTTCTTGCTGCTATACGATCTGTTGCTGCTGCTGCTGCTAGTAACTTATAACTGCAGCAGCAGTGAACCCTCCACTGCAGCAGCAGCAGCAGCAGCAGCAGCAGCAGCTAGCTGCAACGAAGGGAGGGCAGCCGTTTAGCTAGCTAGCTAGCTATGGCTAAATAGCCACCTAGCTAGTGTAACTGGCTAGCTAGCTAGCTAGTTAGCTAGCTAGCCAGTTAGCTAGCTAGCCAGTTAGCTAGCTAGCTAGTTAGCTAGCTAGCTAGCTAGCTAGCTATGATAATTAATGCCGTAATAAGGGACATTATTTATTTATTTATTTTCTTTTAATTATAAGGGAATAAAAAAAAGGAGACAAAAGGAGACAAATAAGCAGCAGCAGCAGCAGCAGCAGCAGCAGCAACAGTAGCAGCAAAAACAGCAGCTGCAGCAGTAGCAGCAGCAGTCTAATACAGACACACACACCTCTCAGAGACAGCAGCAGCAGCAGCAGCAGCAGCAGCAGCAGCAGCAGCAGCAGTAGTAGTAGTAGTAGGTAGACTCAACTAGCTGTGGCTACGCAGGCAGCTAGCTGCTGCTACAGTGTAAGGAGTAAGAGAGGATTTGCTGCTGCTGCTGCTGCTGCAGCAGCTGCAGCAGCAGAGCTATTTTAATTTTGTGTCTTCCCCCCTTTATTGTTTTTATGCTTATTTATTTATTTATTTATTTATTTATTTATTTATTTATTTATTTATTTATTTATTTATTTTCTTTTTTTTTATTTTTATTTTATTATTTCTATTATATTCTTGTCTAGAGAAATAAATCATCAATAAAAAGAAACAAAAATATAAAAGAAAATTAGGGTTTAGGGTTTAGGGTTTAGGGTTTAGGGTTTAGGGTTTAGGGTTTAGGGTTTAGGGTTTTATGCTACTAATAAACATTCAATAAAAGAGATCGGATAAATCTTCGAGACCTTCTGTGTGTGTCTCCTTTCAACAGCAGCAACAGCAGCAGCAGCAGCAGCAGCAGCAGCAGCAGCAGCAGCAGCAGCAGCAGTGTGTTGGTCTCGTGCTGCTGCTGCTGAGGGAAGAAGGTGTCTCCTTTGTCTGTTAGCTAGAGTGTCTCCTTTTTATAAATCAGCAAAAAGGAGACAATATATGTGTCTCTTTTTTTCTTATATATGCAGCAGCAGCAGCAGCAAGAGCAGCAGCAGCAGCTGCAACAACAAAAGCAGCAGCAGCAGCAGCAGCAGCAGCAGACGCGGTGGTCCATGAATGGTGCTGCGCTGCATCTGGGGTGTATAGGCAGCTATTTATTTATTTTTTCTCTTTTTTTCTCTTTTTTATTAAATAATTATAAATAAATAAATAAATAAATAATAAATTATATTATTTATTCTTTTTATTTACCCTTTACTCAGCAGCAACAGTTGCTGCTGCTGCTGCTGCTGCAGCAGCCGAGACTGCAGCAGCAGAGACACTGCCGCCGCCGAGACTGCAGCAGCAGCCAAGACTGCTGCTGCTGCTGCTGCTGCAGCAGCAGCAGCAGCACGTCGGCCTCATCCAATCCTTTTTTTTACGACCTTCTTCCTTTTTTTCTTTTATAGATCCTCTGTGTCTTCTTGTCTATTAAATAATTTTTTTATCTGCAGCAGCAGCAGCAGCAGCAGCAATACGAGCAGCAGCAGCAGCAGCGGAGACAGCAGCAGCAGCAGCGGAGACAGCAGCAGCAGCAGCAGCAGGGTCACCTCGCACACTACAATATAGCCTCTGCGGGCTCATGAGTATCGAAGCCCCTGCTGCTGCAACAGCAGCAGCAGATACTTCTGCTGCTGCTGCTGCTCCTGCTGCTGCCGTTGCTGCTGCTGCTGCTCCTGTATCTGTTCCCGGCAGCAAACCGTGGACCTATGAGAGATCGTTGCTGCAGACAGGGACATCTCTCCTCCCTAACTGCAGCAGCAGCAACAGAAACAACAAAGGCAGCAACAGCAGCAGCACCAACAGCAGCAGCAGCAGCAGCAGCAGCAGCAGCCTACCTGGTGTCCCCTTTATTAGCCGCAGCTCTGAGCTGCTGCGGTTGTTAGAAGAGGAGACAGAAAGGGAGACAGCCTTCCGTCTTGCATACCTACACAACAGCAGCAGCAGCAGCAGCAGCAGCAGCAAAGGCAGCAGCAGCAGCAGCAGCTACTTTGGCACTGGTGCGAAGTATAGAGGCATCAGCACCAACAATAATAGCAGCAGCAGCAGCAGCAGCAGCAGCAGCAGCAGCAGCAGCTCTGCTGTCATTGGAGCGAAGTACAGAGGCATCAGCGCCTTCGGAAGAATCAGCAGCAGCAGCAACAGCAGCAGCAGCAACAGCAGCAGCAGCAGGAGGGCAGCTGTTGCTGCAGCAGGTGTCTCCTCTATCCCTCAGATGTCTCCTTCAAGATATTTTAGTCGTCCCTTTTCCCTGTCTCCTTCTTCCTCATTATTTAGCAGCAGCAGCAGCAGCAGCAGCAACAGCAGCAGCAGCAGCAGCAGCAGCAGATTCTTACGTGTCCCTGCTGCTGGGGAGACAATTACTAAGACAATAAAGGGACTAGAGGAGACACTATATATTATAAATAATGCAGGAAAAAAGACAAAAAAAGTGTCTCCTTTTGCTGCTCTTCGTTATAATATACAGCTTACTCCTGCTGCTGCTGCTGCTGCTGCTGCTGCTGGTAGTGGTGCTGCTGCAGTAGCTGCAGCAACAGCAGCACACCGACTCAAGCATGCGCTGTCTCCTAAGGGTGGGGGGGGGCCCCTATTGCTGCAACGCAGACACTCTATAGGTACTGCAGCAGAAGGGGCCCCTAGAGCTGCAACAGCAGCAGCAGCAGCAGCAGCAGCAATAACACCAACAGCTGCATCAGTAGCAACTGCAGCAACAGCAACAACAACAGCAGCAACAGCAGCAACACTAGCACAGGGACTCCCCCCAACACCGCCACTAGCAGCAGCGGGATCCCCAGCAGCAATAACAGCAGCAGGCGGATCCCCAGCAGCAGCACCAGCAGCAGTGGGAGTCCCAACAACAGCAACAGCAGCAGAAGCAGCAGCAGCAGCAGGAACAGCAGCAGCAGCTGTTAGGGAGGAGACACCGAACACCGTTTGCTGCAGCAGTGGGGCCCCTGTGTCAATTGGGGGCCCCTCTATGTTTACTGGGTCTCCTTTTGCTGCTGATATGCTGCAGCAGCAGCAGCTGCAGCAGCAGCACCTACAGTACCAGCAGCTGCAGCATCAACAGCTGCAGCTGCAGCACTTGCAGCAGCAGCAGCAGCACTTTAGGGATTGTTTCCTTCCTGCTGCTGCAGCACAGCAGCAGCAGCAGCAGCAGCACATCGAGAGGCAGCAAGCAGCAGCAGGGGAGACATATGCAGAGGTGTCTCCTTTTCCTTTATTAAAGAATCATCTCTCTCCTCCCCTGTCTCCTTCCTCTACCTTTATGCAACAGAGGCACGAGCTGCAGGCAGCAGCAGCAGCAGAAGCAGCAGCAGCAGCAGCAGCAGCAGCAGCAGCAGCAGCGCAGCAAAGCCCACAAACCTGCAGCCCCCTTCTGGGCCCTTGGGGCTGCATGCAGTGCATGCATGGGGGCCCCGCGTTTTGGGGGGCCCCACAGGCACCTCCGCCCCTTTGTCAATGTTCTGCTGTACCTGCAGCAGCAGCAGCAGCAGCAGCAGCAGATGCAGCAGCAACTCCTGCTCTATGCCCCCTTGATTGGGGAGAAGAGAGGGAAGAACATAAGAAAGGAGACACTTTATATAGCAGCAGCAGATTGCTGCCTGATGAATGCCTGTCTCCTCCTTGCAGCAGCAGCAGCAGCAGCAGCAGCAGCAGCAGCGGCAGCAGCAGCGGCAGCAGCAGCGGCAGCACGATAGAAGACTTCAAGCAGAGGCTACTGCAGCAGCAGCAGAAACTCATGCTGCAGCAGCAGCAGCAAACACTAAGAAGCAGACTACGCAGCAGCTCGATACACAACTACCGCATGCAGCAGCAGCAGTGGCAGCAGCAGCAGCAACAGTGGAAGCAACAGCAGCAACAGTGGCAGCAGCAGCTGCAGCAGCAACAGTTGCAGCAGCAGCTGCAGCAGCAGCACTGCCCCTGTTGTGCGTATATTCAACCTGGGGGCCCCCCTAGGCGTTCCCTAGAGGCCTATATTGGGGGCCCCTCTTCGTACCCTGCATGCGGGGCCCCCCAGTTGCTGCAGCAGCAGCAGCAGCAGCAGATGCTCATGCAGCAGCAGCAGCAGCAGCACCTCCTGCAGCAGCAGCAGCAGCAGCTAGCTGCGTCCCTTACTGCTAGGCTAAAGGAGTCTCCTCATGTCTCTACAGAGAGCTCAACAGCAGCAATAACTGTCAGCAGCAACTGCAGCAGCAGCAGCAGCAGCAGCAGTAGCCGCAGCTGCAGTGTAACAAGATTCAGCAGCAGCAACAACAGTACAGCTTGCTGCACCACTGCTGCTGCTGCTGCTGCTGCAGCAGCAGCAACAGGAGACAGAGAGAGCGGCATAGAGAGACAGAGGCGTCTCCTCTATAGACGCCTTGAGCAGCAGCAGACCTCCTCTCTTATTAGTGCTGCTGCTGCTGCACTGCGGCAACAGCAGCAGCAGCAGCAGCAGCAGCAGCAGCAAAGGCAGCAACAAGAACAACAGCAGCAACGAGAGGAACAGCAGCAACAACAACAACAGCAGCAACAACAGCAGCAACAAGAACAGCAAAAACAGCAAACCCAACACGAACAGGAGCAGCAGCAGCTGCAGCAACAGCAGCAGCTGCAGCAGCAACAGCAGCAGCAGCAGGAAGAGGAGGAGGCGCAGCAGCAGCAGCAGCAGCAAGAAGATTATCTAGGTGTCTCCTTGTCTCCTTCTGTCCTATTAAGGAGACCCTTATCTGCAGATATACCTCGTAGATGTTTTCCTGCTGCTGCTACTGCTGCTGCTGTTCTTGCTGCTTCTGTTGCTGCTGCTAGGGCACAGAGACACCAGAGAAGGAGACAAAAGGATAGTGGAGGCGAACCACCTCCAGCAGCAGCAGCAGCAGCACGTGCTGCTGCTGCTGCTGCTGCTGCTGCTGCTGCTGCTGAGGCGCGTCAGGATAGCAGCAGCTCTGTGGCGTCAACAGCAGCATCAGCAGCACCAACAGCAGCAGAACCAGAAGCAGCAGCAGCAGCAGCAGAAGCAAAGGGCGAAGGAGGAGGAGGAGCAGCATCAGGAGCAGCAGCAGCAGCAGCAGCAGCAGGAGAGGAGGAAGAATATATAGAGAGACTGTCTCCTCTTAGCAGCAGGTGCAGCAGCACAGAGTGGTAGGAGACAGACAGACAAAAAGGAGACAGATAGTTGTGGTGTATACACAGCTACTATTTGCTGCTGCTGCTGCTGCTGCTGCTGCTGCTGCTGCATTAAGGAGACACATGCAGATAGGCAGCAAAAAAGGAGACACTTTGCATGCATGCAATTAGCAGCAAAAATATAAACACTTTTTATTGTCATAAAAAAAAACAATAACAATAAATATATTTAATTAAATAAATAAATAAATAAATAAATAAATAAATAAATAAATAAATAAATAAATAAATAAATATACAAAAAAAAAGAGGAGTAATAGGCATATAGATAGATAAGAGACACAAAAGGAGACAACAAAAGGAGACAGTTACTTAGCAAAGGAGACAAAATAAATAAATAAATAAATAAATAAATAAATAAATAAATAAATAAATAAATAGTGTCTCCTTTTTGTCTCCTTTTGTCTCCTTCTCCTCCCTATCTATAGATAAATATAACAAATAAATATAAATATAAATAAATAAATATATTTATTATTTATTTATTATTAATTATTATTAATTATATAAATAATATATAATAATTAATATTATATAAATAAAAAGAAGAAAGAAAAGAAAAGAGAAAAGAAGAGACACTGCGCATAGTTACTTCTCTTTCTGCTGCTGCTGCTGTTGCTGCAGCTGCTGCTGCTGCTGTTGAACTTGCTGCTGCTGCTGTTGCTGCTGCTGTTGTTGCGTAGAGTCTCCTCCTGTCTCCAAAGTAACGAGCTACAGGATTGTCCCCTCAGGAGACAAACAGTTGCTGCTGCTGCTGCTGCTCAGCAGCAAGAGCAGCAGCAGCAGCAGCAGCAGCAGCACGAGCAGCAGCAGCAACAAGGGAGACAGCAGACAAGAATTGGAGAGACTGAGGAACAAGAGACAGGCAGCAGCAGAGGAGACAGCTGTAGCTGCAGGACAGAGGGGACAGCAGCAGCAGCCACAGCAGCAGCAGCAGAAGCAGAAGAGGAAGGGTACACAAGTGCTGTTGCTGCTGCAGCAGTTGCATCAAGACCGCCAGAGATTGCTGCTATCTCAGCAGAAGAAGAGGAGACAGCAGCAGCAGCAGCAGCAGCAGCAGCAGCAGCAGAATTTATGTCTCTGGATACAATTTGCTGCCCCCTTTATGCAGCAGAAGAGACACTTTGTAAGAGGAGACACTTCTTGCCTCTGTCTCCTTTTTCCTGCTGCTGCTGCTGCTGCAGTTGCTGCAGTTGCTGCTGCTGCTGCTCTGTCTGCTAGTTTGTGCTTATGGGATTTCCCGTCACTGTGCAGCAGCAGCAGCAGCAACAGCAGCAACAGCAGCAGCAGGTGTTGCTTCTTCTGCTGCTGCTTCTGCTGCTGCTCTACCAGCAAACAGGTAAAGGCCACACTTGTTTGTGTCTTTGTGTGCAGCAGAGGAGACTGTGACTGCAGCACCACGGGCAGCAGCAGCAGCAGCAGCAGCAGAAGCAGCAGCAGCATCTCCACAACCTCTATTTAGGAGAGACAGTAAAGCAGCAGCAGCAGACGCAGCAGCAGCAGCAAGGGAAGTGTCTCCTGCAGACACAGAATTTACTTTTGCTTCTGCTTCCCCACCACTACCTGCACCAGCAGCAGCAAAAGAATCACCAACAGCAGCAGCAGCAGCAGCAGAATGTGCTGCTGCTGCATTGCCTCGCAGGCACCGCGTAAACACGGGAAACAGCAGCAGCAGCAGCAGCAGCAGCAGCAGCTACGGGAGCAATGCTGAGCAATTGACTGCATGCTGCTGGTGGTTCCAAGTCAACAGCAACAGCAGCAGCAGCAGCAGCAACAGCAGCAGCTGCAGCAGCAGCAGCAGATATGGCAAGACACGTCATTGCCAAATTCAGACAGTACCTCTTACAGAGGAGACAAAGGCAGAAGCAGCAGCAGCAGCAGCAACAGCAGCAACTGCAGCAACAGCAGCAGCTCCTTGGATAGAAGCTGTCCAGGTAGCAGCAACCCCTGAGGGGCCCCGAGCTATTGTTGTGGGGGGCCCCTTGAAGGGGGGCCCCTCAAGGGGCCCCTTGAGGGGCCCCTCATCCTTCTTGCCCCTTCAAAGAAAGCAGCATGAAGCAAGGTTGCAGCAGCAGCAGCAGCAGCAGAAACAATATCAGAAGCAACAGCAGCAGCAGCAGCAGCAGCAGCAGCAGCAGGAAGCGTATATGGGTCTTGGTAGTCTATCTGCGGTGTATAGGCAGGTACTGTCTATAAGAGCAAAAGGAGACACTTATAAAAGAAATAAGTGTCTCCCTATTAAGAGGCCCCCACCCCCTGAGGCCCTGTTGCTGCAGCAGCTGCTGCAGCAGCAGCAGCAGACACAACGGTCAAGAGCAGCAGCAGCAGCAGCAGCAGCATCACCAGCAGCAGCAGCAGCAGCAGCACCAGCAAACTCCACAACTCAAAACTCTTCCTCCTGACTAGGGGCCCCCCTGGGGCTCCCTAGGCAGTACCCACTAGGGGCCCCCTTTTTAAGGCCCTTGGGGGCCCCCCTCTTCTCCTTTTTTAGGGTTTACCTCTAAACCCTAAACCCTAAACCCTAAACCCTAAATTATAGTTACTGTGTTTATCTACCTAAGGGTACAATTAATTATTAATAAGAGGAAACAAAAGGAGACAGTAAGTGTCTCCTTTTTATCTTTGTGTCTCTATTGTCTCTATTTATCTATTATTATTATTATTATTATTATTATTATTATTATTATTATTATTATTATTATTATTATTATTTATTTTGTCTCCTTTTGTCTCTTTTTTTTTCTTTTCCTTATTTTATTATTTGCTGCATTTGTTTGTTTAAGGGCCCTCCTATAGGGGCCCCCAAAAAAATGTACAGGCAGGGGCCCCCCGAAGGGGGCCCCCTAGGAGGGTACAGCTCCTAGGGGGGTCTCGGCAGGGGCCCCGCTATATAGAGAATGTACAGTTCCTAGGGGGTCCCCCTTCAGGGGGCCCCCATACACAAGTAGGGTACAGTTTCTAGGGGGGCCCCCTTCAAGGGGGCCCCCTAATATAAAGAGGGTACAGTTAGAACCAACCACCAAACCAACTGCTGATGCCCGTCCTCTCGTCTGGTGGTGTAGAGGCCCCACTAGAGGGTACATCATCATCTTCTTCGTGCCCTGCTGCTGCTGCTCCTGCTGCTGCTGCTGCTGGTTGTTGTTGTTGCTGTTGTTGTTGTTCTGCCTCTGCTGCTGCTGCTGCTGCTGCTGCTGCTTCTTTTGCTGCTTTTTTTGCCCTCTCTGAGGAGGAAGAAGAAGAGGTACTCTCTGTATCCTCATCTATTAGCGTAGAGGCCCCACTACGACGGAAACCCCTCTTGGGGGCCCCCTTGGGGGCCCCCTCCCCCTTAGATGTCTCCTTAGGGGCCTCCGTTACCTTAGATGACTCCTTAGGGGTCTTGTCCCCCTTAGTTGTCCCCTTGGGTCCCCCCCCCTCCTTATTTGTCTCCTTAGGGGCCCCCTCCTTATTTGTCTCCTTAGGGGCCCCCCCTTTACATGTCTCCTCGTGGGCCCCCCTTGGACTCTTTGGGATGGTATCTGTGGGTGTCCCCTTATCACCGTCTTTGGGGGCCCCGTTTGTACCCTCTTTGGGGGCCCCGTTTGTACCCTCTTTGGGGGCCCCGTTTGTACCCTCTTTGGGGGCCCCCTGTGGGGCCCCCTTACTAGTAGACCAAGGTAAGGAAGAAGTTGCTGCAGTAAATAAAGAAGAAGAAGACCAATTATTATTTGTTTTTTTATTATGTATAGATCTATATATACGATCTATTGTTGGGGACCTAAGGAGGAAAAAAAAAAAAAAAAAAAAAAAAAAAAAAAAAAAAAAAT